CCCAACGTCAGCGAGAGTTTTTAAGGACCTGACGCATGTGTCAGGAGACAAACTGTTTTTGTACATTGTACACCATGCAACATCAATGCAACTTTAAAAAAAAAAAAAATTTTGTTGGTAGACATTCACATTTAATTTCTGATTTTGATCTAACAAAACTCATTGGTTACTTTTGATTGCAATGAGCATAGAAACAATGTATTCCAATAGTTCCGTGGCATTGTTTTAGCTATACACGTCTTGCAACTTTTTTCGCAACTTTTGCTAATTTTTCTTGCAACTTTTCGCAACTTTTGCTGTTTTCCAATGCAACTTTCTCTGAGGACAGATAGATGTGTTACAAGAGAGTAACATACACAAAAGAGGAGGAGAGAAAAGGACCATAGTCGTTTGGTAGGAAAGACGGAGCAAACCACACCAGAGCACCCACCAATAATGGATGATGCTTGCTTTTTTTAGTTTTAGTAAGAGTTTTACAGCACTTGTAACGACATAATTAGGTCATATAAATGCCGCAGAGTAGAGGTGTTAAAAGAGAGTAACAAACACACATACACAAACAAAGAATAGGACGATGGGTGTCTGAGTGATGGGAAAGAAGGAGCAGACCACATCAGAGCAGAGCACCTGCAACAATCCACGTTGATGCTTGTTGAATGTGATGATGATGATAGTAATGACGATGAAAGAAATCAGGAGGATCTTGATATTGAGGAGAAAAAGGATGGCGGCGATAATGATGGTGATATTGATAGGCTGATAGTATTGACGATGATGATAATGATGATGATGATGATGAGGAGGAGGAGGAGGAGGATGGAGATAGGTTGATAATGATGATGATAGTGATAGTGTGATACATGAAGTGACGATGATGGTGATGAACATGATGATGATGATGAGGAGGAGGAGGAGGCGGGTGGTATGTCTTGTTTTCTTGCTCTTTTTTTGTAAAGAACCATTTCATCCATTAATTAAAAGCTTTTGGTCGATTCAATTGATCTTGAAATGATTTTTTCACCAGGCACATGTCAGCTGTACAAGAAAGAGGGCGATCATTGCAACTCATTTGATGCCATGAACGGCTACTGCAGCTGTGAACCCGGAACCTACTGTCATACATACCAGGAGGCGCTACCCACTGCACCAGCCACGCATATGTTGGTTCGTTCCATGCTCCCGCCGAAACCAGGTTACCACTGGGTGTCCGAGTGCCAGAAGAAAAATCCGTAGAATTGTGACGAAGAACTATGTTCAAGAATTTTTACGGCACAACAAAGACTTCTGAATATACAATTATGAGGTTTTAATGAATACCCACACACTTCGCCTGTCTGTCTGTCTCTCTCTCTCTCTCACACACACGCACACACACTCACAAACAAAATTGTGAACAAAAAAAATAAATACTTGCATACACACACGCCGATTTGTTTTTTTGTTTTTGTAAAGTGTTTTACGGCGCTCGCAACTGCATAAGGTCATTATGAGCGCGCGGGACACACCTAATATTTTCAGTTGGTAGGAAATTTTTAATTTTGCCCGGGTGGCGGCCGAAGCCTACTCTTATCGATTTTAGACCACCAAGGGATCGTTAACGTGCGCAACTTGCACACGGGCCCTCCGAGATTTTTCGCCCTTGTCCGAGAAGGCTAGGTGTAGATCTTTCCTTCCAGAAGATCAGGGGTGTGGCAGAAAGAACACACCGATTGATAAAGACTCTCACAAAGACAGTTACCATGGCCTATGAGTGTACTTTGTTATATTATATCTCTGATCTCTAAATATTTTCCAGTCTTTTTTAAAAGACTACTTACAGTCCAGGTCGTAAAAAAATAAACAAGAGGCAGTCTTCTCTCATTCAGACCACACTTTTGTTTTGTTTGTTAATTTCTATTAATCCAAAGATATGGTGCTGCATTATCATTTCCTGTGTTGGGTGTCATTTGTCACAGCATTCAAAATAAGTTATCTACAAGAAAAGGAAATTGCAGTCTCTTCTCCTTTCTGGATTTTTTTTTTCAGACTGCTTGTGGATCAGCTACTACTAGATGCGTTTAGGAAGACTGAAATTGAGAAGGCTCAAACTAAAGTGTAAAGATACAGAGATGAGCTCAAAAGCCATTGATAAGAAAATAATGGGACACAAGATTATTTGATAAAGAGACATAGGCTATAGTATGGTGCCAAAAATGAATGAAAAAAAAAGTCAAAGTTACAATTACCTTTTGCATTGAAATGACAAGAAATCTAGATATTAAATTGACGTGATGATTGAGTGTAAACATTTACCACACCTTTTATTACTTTTATGGGTGTAGGTCCTACAACTTAAATAATTTTAAGTCTGTTGCCAAGTGGTTAGGTTCCTGGACTTGAAATCGTGAGATTTCAGGTTCGGTGGTTAGAGCCTCAGCTCGGTCCGACGTTGTGTCCTTGGGAAAGGCACTTCACACGAATTTCCCAGTTGGCTCGGTCATAACAGAGATGACGTTAAACTCGGAGGTCCAGCCTCTTAAATAATCCAATACAGTAGTGTTGATAGGCGCGTTAAACCTATACCATTGCACCATAAAAAAAATAATTCTAAGGTAGAGGGCTCCTTTGATCCATTCTGTTAGCACCAGCCTTGGATGAGTGGGATACAGTGTCTTATCATACAGACTTGAGGAAGACTCAGTAAAGAAACTTCCCAAAGTGGGAGTCGAATTCCCCATCATTTCTGCAAGCAACTGCAAGGAGCCAAACCATTACAACACAGATGCTGAAGTTGTAACCTGCCTCTTGGGACAGAAGAGTAATTTAGAATATTTTGAATGCTTCCACTGAGAACTCACATCTTCAGATTTCAACTGCAAGGAGCCTAACTACTAGTACTACAACACAGATTATGCTAAAATTATAATCTTCCTTTTGAGACAGAATAATTTAGAATACCTTTAACCCTGTCTACTTCATCCAGTTTGAGACAGACAGTAACCTAGAGGCCTCACCTTGTACACGATAGACAACTATGAGGAAAAAATATATAAAACTTAAGGACTGGTGGGACACCTGAGGTCTATTTTTGCTATTACAAGGCCTAGAGTGCCGATATTTGCAGTGGTACATCGTGTGTTATTGGGATTTTAATTCAATAGTTCAAAAAGCATATTGTGAATTGGTTGCTATGGAAACGGCGGCCATATTGGATTTTGTATACCTTTTTCAATCCCATTTTACTTTCTTATTTATTAACCGATTCACTTATAATTTGGCATGCCAACAGTACATATGTAGCTCTTAAATTTGGCTGGTTGAATTTTTGATATATGCTTTAGTTTTTATTTTATGTTATTTACAATTGAGATGTTGCAAAAAAAGTGAAAAAAATGGAAAATTCATGCTTTCTAAGCCCATAAATCAAAAACTACTACATTAATCAAAAATTCAACAAGCCAAAATTTAGAACTAGGTGTTGTTGGTATCCTCTGAAAGTTACATTAAAATTGAATAAGAAACAGAGAAGAAAAATGGGATAATATGTGAAAAATTAGAATTGTGAGAAAACAGCCGATACAGGTAAGAAAAGGCTAGACAACATGTGCTTTCGCTGAAAAACCTGACAAAAAAACACAGCTTTAGAGTGTAGCAAGGCTTACATACGTTTCTGGATATTGTTCAGGAAGTGTCCAGGTACTATAATATGTAATAAACCCTATTTACAAAATTTGACCCCCAAACACGATTTCTAGGTGCCCCACCAGCCCTTAAAGAATAAACAACACAAACCTCAACAAAAGTAACAAAGAATGGGATGATACAGACAACATTTATTTACAGAATTTTGTTCACAGAGCTCCCGAACAATCTCTCACGCATCCAGTTCTCACAACAGCTCCGCACAACAAGGCCAGCTGCCTGTGCTGATATAGCTCTAGCACACTATTGTCAGATCCTTCAACATCACAGTAAGGTAACGTTTGCTTGACAGAAAAAAAATACTTGGAATCTAGCAAGGTCTTAACCAGTATTAGCCATGGATGAGGACAATGTGCATCTTCATATCACTTTGCTAACAAAATAGCCTACATTTTTGTACGCACCACCTGTCTACTTTTGCAATGATTTTATTTGAAAAAATAATGAACACACAATTTTGTTGTTGTTGGCAAAAATGGTTTTCTGAAGTCATAGGGCTGTAAATCAAACTATAATTAATATTTCTGTCCTATGTAACAAGAGACAAAATGTTGAAAATGTTTACCACAATTCACAAGACAATAGCAATGAAGGACATAAATCTTGAAACACCCAGGTACACAGAGCATATATAGGCCTATATTAACTTTACCACTCAAACAATAGTATATATACTGCAAAAATTTCAGGTGTAGCCATTTGTTACAAAAACAAAACAAAACAAATTAACTTAGAATTTCAAATGAAATCATATATAGAGAGACAGACTTTTAAAATAAGTCAAAGAACTGAAGGGTGAAAAATAAATTTGAGCAATTATATTAACGAAATACAATCTAGAATGTTTTATGTCACCATTTCATTCACTATTACACCCAATACCTTTTCTTCACTTCAAAAGCAAATTTCAAATAAAGAGAATCCAGTAATGTGTAAAGGCAAAAAAGACAAGAACGCAGAATGCCTGTCTACAGTAAAAGTAATGGTCAATTCTTTAAAAAGGTGTAAGAGGAATGCTTTTATCATGCACGGGAAAAAAAACAACTTATTTACACTTCATCTCCTTCCACGACAACGGAGTGTGGAAGCAACTGATGTACAAATAAGTAAAATTGGGAAACAACATTCTGATAAATGTCTTCTCAACTTTCAAAGCCTGACATACTTCACATTTGTGCAGAAACATCACATAAGCATTCATTCCTTACATTTGATTTAGAGTAGTGGAAATCTAATGACCTCGCAAAGAATCCAATTTGCAAGTTCATCTACATACATGCAATATGAAATGTCACAGAATGTTTTAAGACCTGGATATGGAAGAGCAGACTTCAGTATAAACTTGTCTTTTTCATGATCCTTAGAAACTCTTCCTGGTTGATCTCACCATCCCCATCTCTGTCTGCTTCGTCGATCATCTCCTAAAACACAGACAAACATTAGAATAGTAAAATCTTTGTAAGCTACAAACCATACTTAATAGGTCGAACGCATATTGTACTTACTTTGCCAATCAGAAGTGTAATACAGACGTAAATGATAGCGTTCGAGCTCACAAAGCTGCCAACTTTTCAAAAGCAAAATAAAAATGGACTTTATCCAGGCAGTGGGTCAAGAAAGATGGTGGGCACTGGCCAAGTACCCCCCTCCTCTCAAATCTTTCACACACCAACAAATTCAAGCTACTCAAACTCAAAGCAGACCTTCAGCAAAAAAATCTCTAGAAATTACTTATGGGCTTTGTTCTTACTATTAATTGCAAATCAGGTTTTGGAAGCTTATATTTTCTCTTCAATATCGGCAAATTCACGGGGAGTAATAGCAGTTAGTTTCAGTAGAGGTTTTACGGCGTTCGCAACTGCATAAGGTCATATGAGCGCCAGAAGATTAGAGACGTTACAAGAGAGTAACAAACGTAAAAAAAAAGAAAGGAAGATAAGGATGATAGATGTTTGAGAGGAAGGAAGAAGCAAACCACACCAGAGCACCCGCCAACCACCCACGGAGTAATACCAAAGAACAGACAATACTCATTTTCCCGTAAGAAAACAGACTTCCGTATTCAGATCTTCAAAACCATGCTAAATATATTTTTTAAATACAGGTTGGCATCTAAAAGCTTTTAACCTGCCAAGATGTATGTACCCAAACAAACCTCGGAAGGTAAATTAAAATCTCCCCCCTCCCCCAAACCAAACCAAATGGAACCCCCCCCCCCCCCCCCCAAATAACAACACGAAAACCAAAATAGAAGAAAGGAACAAAAACATGTTCTGCCCCTTCAAAGAAACACAAATTATTTCACATTAGCAACCCTAATTGTACCTGTAATTCTTCATCAGTCATATTCTCGCCCAATTCTTTTGCCACTCGCTTCAAGTTGCGGAATGAGATTTTCCCCGTTTCGTCGTCATCGAAGAGTCGAAATGCTTTAAGGATTTCTTCTCTGGAGTCTTTTTCACTCATTTTGTGGGTCATCAACGTCAAAAAGTCATTGAAGTCAATTGTTCCTGAAAGAAAAATAATAATAATAGACAATAATAGATAGCATTTGTATAGCGCATATCCCCGCTCAACAGCAGGCTCTATGCGCTTTACACTATATTATTACCCCAGCAGACCATAGAACACTCCGAAACATTCTCAGCTTCCCGGGAAGCATACAGTGCAAGCAGCTGATTAAGCGCTCAAACACTAACAAACTGACAAGATCTTTCGCTGTCTATAGCCGGGTACCCATTCCCACCTGGGTGAAGTGAGGAAAATTCGTGTAAAGTGCCTTTCCCAAGGACACAACGTCGGGTCCCTGACGGGATTCGAACCCATGACCTTACAGTTGCGAGTCCGAGAGCCTAACCACTAGGCCAACAAACATTTCACGCTGCAGTCTTTTATGAATGCTGAAAATACAATAAAGTATGGATATCTTGAACACGTCAGGGGTTGACAAATATGGTCGACATATCCATAATTCGAGAGAACTGTGACAACTAAAAACAAGACAGATTATGAAAGATATCAAGGGAAGTAACTGTGGCACTATAATGGTTAGAAAACAAATATCTGCATTCATAAAAAGTAGCTTTTATGTATCAATTAAAGGATAGACACTGTACGTATCTTGTTCAGTGTTGATGTAAGAGAAAAGAAGAGTGGCACTGTTGAGACTTTTGACTAAAAAAATATTGCTCTAATTTTAGATCATGATCATGACAATGTGATGGAACCAACGCTGGTCATACTGCCCACCCCTCTTGTGTAATCACTTCCCCAGCCATACCTTAACTTTCAAACAACCGCACACACAAATACAAACATAATTTATACACCACATGACTCAATGCAGTGCCACATTGCAACTATCTGTCTTCGATCACACCCCACCATCAAGCATCCATCCTCACATGACAAGATTTAAAGAACTTCTTGCACCTTACGTACACTACTGGTCGTAAATCAGGATCATTTATCCGGTCACAGCAACAGCTATTGGAGCCTTAAAAAGCAGGCCTGTTTATAAAAGTAGTAGTATAAATCTGAGCAAACCCCAAAATATCCAGAGTACAGACAGAATTTGTATATCTGTAAATGATATTTATCCTCATCAACACAATTTCAGTCAAAAAGGAGGCTGGCTGCTTTGACCCTGGCTGCCAAGGCCAGCATAGACTGCAAGATATGACATTCCAACACAAACACTGATATATTTGAAGATAACATCTTCTCTAGGAAGGGATGGAACTTGTGTCTTTAGTTTGTACTATCCATTACACAAGAGACACAGGTGATCAGGGATTGTTGAGCACTGACCAAAATAGGGATACTTAAAAAGGAGCATGTTCTATGACTATCCACAGTCTGCATAAGTCTGCTTTCAGTATAATTTCTTATTACTCCACTTACACTAACCTGCTTGGGGGGTATTCTTACAATTTATTGAAAATGAATGGATTTCAGGTACTTGAAAACAGCTAAAATTTAAATGATGTGACACACACTTAAGGTGTGATGTCGACGAATATTGCTTATTGTTTGGCACAATTTTAGTTTCAAACAATGCTTCCAGGAAGAAAAAAGAAACACACACACAAAAAATGTTAGCCAAAGGTGTTAAGGATGGGTGTAGCAGGAGTCCGATTACATGGTGTGGGAAGATTCCCCTCTCAAAAGAGTAGGTAGCTTTTGCCTGCAGGCAGTATAGGGGATTAACAAACTAACTCACCTGTAGATTCTTTGTCTATTTCTGATATCAATTTCTTGATTTCTTCCTTCTTTGGCTCAAATCCCAAAGCTCTCATTGCGACCTGAAGGGAGAAAATGTAATGTTTGTACAAAACCAAACGATGTCAAATGGTATGAATCGTATCCGACAAAGTGAAAATTAATAAAAAGCAGTTGTTCTTGCATGCACTTCTTCTCTATGCATTGATTTTTCAATCACAAGGGCATAAAAGGAAATCTGCTATTTTGAGAGAAATTAGGAGTAGGATTATGTTCAATTGTGAAGTCAATAAAGCCTTTACTATGCCTGACCATGGTATTTCATCGTCACTGAACTTGGTGCGCAAGCTGATGCCTCATCAGCATATGTGAGGCATCCTGGTGACATCAGGTGCTCGTCATTCAAAATAATGAAATCAAAGAAAACGTCATTTTTGAGCAGGTTAGGCAATTTTTATCAAATTTTCCATTTTTTCGCTCATCACCTTTCATGTCCATTAAAAACACATTTCTGTGTAGATTTTACTGAAACAAATTTGATTAAAGGCATACAAAGTGTAAACTTTCAGTTCCCAAGCCCTCTCAAGCTATGGAAGTCTCCAAACTTTGGCAGCCATTTTCTTGCTAATGTTACCGCTGGAACCAGGTGACCCCCCCCCCCCCCCCCCC